GTATGTATGTATGTATGTATGTATGTATGTATGTATGTATGTATGTATGTATGTATGTATGTATGTATGTATGTATGTATGTATGTATGTATGTATGTATGTATGTATGTATGTATGTATGTATGTATGTATGTATGTATGTATGTATGTATGTATGTATGTATGTATGTATGTATGTATGTATGTATGTATGTATGTATGTATGTATGTAATGTAATGTAATGTATGTATGTATGTATGTATGTATGTATGTATGTATGTATGTATGTATGTATGTATGTATGTATGTATGTATGTATGTATGTATGTATGTATGTATGTATGTATGTATGTATGTATGTATGTATGTATGTATGTATGTATGTATGTATGTATGTATGTATGTATGATGATGATGCCGATGGCAATGATGACAACGGTGATGATGATGACGACGATGATGATGATGATGACCATGAGGAAGACGATGAAAAGTATCATCGTAGCATCCGCTGCAGCTCCAACGAGGACGATGACAAGTATCATCGCAGCATCCCCTGCATCTCCAACAGTGGATGATGATGACGATGATGATGATGACAACGGTGATGATGACGAGGATGGCTATGAGGAAGATGATAGTGACCGTCCAGCAGTGCCTGGTAACTATCATCGTAGCATCCGTTGCATTGCGAGTGGTGTCTGTATAAGAAGTAAAGATGACGATGATGATGATGACAACGGTGATGATGACGAGGATGACTCTGAGGAAAATGATAGTGGTCATTCGCGTCATCTTCGCAACATCCTCTGCATCTCTAGCAGTGCCTGGATAACTGTCGTTGCAAGTGGTGTCCCTTTTGATTTCCATAATTTCCATATGAGAAGTAAAGAAAGGATGATGATGATGATGATGATGACTATGAGGAAGATGATGAAAAGTATCAGATTCCTCGTCTTTGTTATCGTTGGAGATGCAGCGGATGCTACGATGATACTTTTCATCATCCATCCACTGTTGCAGGGGATGCTGCGAGGATACTTGTCATCGTAAGAAAGGACTATGAGGAAGATCATAGTGATCATTCGCGTCATCACAAGTATCATCGCAACATCCTCTGCATCGCTAGCAGTGCCTCGATAACTATCATCGTAGCATCCGTTGTATTGCAAGTGGGGTCTAACGTCACTTTTGATTTCTATATAAGAAGTAAGAAAGGATGATGATGATGACTATGAGGAAGATGATGAAAAGTATCATCGTAGCATCCGCTGCATCTCCAACAATGACGATGATAAGTATCATCGTAGCATCCCTTGATGATGATGACGATAATGATGATGATGATGACCATGAGGAAGATGATGAAAAGTATCATCGTCGCATCTAACGGTGATGATGATGATGATGATGACCATGAGGAAGATGATGAAAAGTATCAGTGGATGATGATGACGATGATGATGATGACAAGCGTGATCACAAGTATCATCGCAACATCCTCTGTGCCTCGATAACTAGTGATCATTCGCGTCATCACAAGTATCATTGCAACATCCTCTGCATCGCTAGCAGTGCCTCGATAACTATCATCGTAGCATCCGTTGCATTGCAAGTGGGGTCTCACGTTACTTTTGATTTCTATATAAGAAGTAAGAAAGGATGATGATGAGGATGATGACTATGAGGAAGATGATGAAAAGTATCATCGTAGCATCCGCTGCATCTCCAACAATGACGATGATAAGTATCATCGTAGCATCCCTTGATGATGATGACGATAATGATGATGATGATGACCATGAGGAAGATGATGAAAAGTATCATCGTAGCACCTAACGGTGATGATGATGATGATGATGACCATGAGGAAGATGATGAAAAGTATCATCCTAGCATCCGCTGCATCTCCAACGAGGACGACCAACAGTTGCATCCAAAATCGAGCAATGACAGTTACCACGACGCATCCCCAGCATCTCTTGCAGGCATGAGGATGATGATGATGATAGCGGCGATGATGAGGATGATGACGATGAGGAAGATGATGAAAAGTATCATCGTAGCATCCGCTGCATCTCCAACGATGACGATGATAAGTAACTGATAAGTATCATCGGAGCATCCCCTGCATCGATGACAATGGGAAGATGATGAAAAGTATCATCGTAGCATCCGCTGCATCTCCAACGATGACGATGATAAGTAACTGATAAGTATCATCGGAGCATCCCCTGCATCTCCAACAGTTGATGATGACGATAATGATGATGACAACGGTGGTGATGATGACGATGATGATGATGACAATGGGAAGATGATGAAAAGTATCATCGTAGCATCCGCTGCATCTCCAACGATGATGATGAAGCTCCAGCAGTGGATGATGATGACGATGATGATGATGACAACGGTGATGATGAATGAGGAAGATGATGGATGACGACGATGTTGATGATGATGACACCCTTCCCATGCGCCTCGCCCTTGCAGACAAGGGGTCGGCGGATTATCTTCCCAACAACACGTTTAGCTTTTTGCAAGGGGGACAAGTATGGTCAAGTGTGAAGTTGACATCTTCCATGGAGCATCGAAGCTGACATCCGTTTACTTTGGTTTCCGTTTTCAGGGGACACCACAAGGAACACCGCCATTTTGGGGAGGTCCCCTAAAAAAGGCACGCCCAGTTGACGACGAACAAAAGCTCCGGAACCTATATTTTGCCCTAAGAATTGTGGAAACCAACCTTTTTTGAGGTTCAAACCCTATAAAATTCCCGACCCCCTTTGAATGAAGGGTCCAGCGCTTGGGATAGAGCAAATTTCAATCAATCCCGGGGTTAAAAAGTTGGGGCACTTTTTGGACCCCCATGTTGCAAAGGACATCCATTGAAACCTCGGTGAGCACTAGATTGAACATGGTGTGAAAAAAGAGAAATCACTTCCATCTGTTTAAGATTAGTTTTCTTTTTCCCCTTTTGGTATTAAAGGGACTCTATCACTACTGGACACATTGTTTTTCCAGTGGACTTAAGCAAATGGAAGAACATGGTGCAGCGTTTCGGCGCAACTTTTGTGTCAGGAGAGAGCGCAACCTCGAGCCAGCCCCATGTGCTGCCTTCCATTCCCCAAGGCGCATGCCCGACATGCCCAGCGCCAAGATAGTTTGTAGGTCTGGGTGTCTAAAATAGGACTCGGGTGTCTTCTTTTAGGGGACACCCCCCAAAACTGTGGCTTTCTTGTTGGTTTCTCTCTTGGTTTGCCTGCAAAGCCAGTCTAACAAGGCTACCCTCGAAAAGGGACCCCATCTGTGCCCGATTTTGAGGTCACGTGACTGGAAAAAGCAGCCACTCGACTATTTAGGCATCCGTTCCTACCAGAATTGCTGCTGGCCCGCAAATGCGGGCAACACGCAGAAATTTGGGTGTGCAGAGCAGCACGTTTACCTTTGAAATACGTCTGCGGTCTCTCCGATCTTCCGTGGTGTGCTGAATATTGTTTGGCTGGGCTCAATTAAAAGGGACGAGCAAACGAGCTTGGCAACCTCAAAATAGATGTAGTTGTTTGCCCATTCGTCCAACTTTGACCATTTACCCCGTCACAAGGGTGAAAGTAAGTGGCGCTATTCCCTGTATGGTTTTGCGCTGGAGAGCCGTGGCGAGAATCGGCGAATCGGCGTTTGCGCCGTATCGAAAGGCCCGACGACCTCAAATGAACTTGGGGGCGTCTTGTTTTGAGGGACGCCTTTTCTTTCAGTTTCCGTTCAAGTGGGTTCGGATTGGTGGGTTGTGGTTTGGGGTGGCTTCACATCTAAACTCCACAGCCAGGCGAATCCAAACCTCCAATCAAGGCTTCACATATCGCCAAAAGCAAACCAAGCATTCTTTGGAACCGATCCTGTGACAAATCCAAATTTTGCTTCAGAATTGTGGATGGACAAACCCCCAAAACGCACCAGTTCGGATTTGTGGTTTCCCCCACTCACTAGAATTTCATTCGCCGCTGGTGCGCACATTTGTTCCATCCAACAAAAAGAGGTTGCGAACATTTGAAGCACATTTTCAATCATGTCAGTTTGTGTGTGTACTTCAAACACCTGTGGCTGTCCATTTGGGGATTCGGGACAGGGCCTCGTCGAAATTAACCCACTCCGCTTCAATTTTAAGCACTCTGGCGGGACTGTCCTGCGGCGGAGCCACAGCGTTGCACTCCATTGTCTTTTGTGGGCGTACCCTTGGTGTTGTGTTCAAGGGAAAACCAAAGACGAACTTGTTTTTTGGTTTGCGGGGGCGGGGCTCCCAGCAGAAGCAGAATTTGGGGCAACCTTCCTTGTGCCAGTCCTTGCGGGGCGACCCCCCAACTACCACTTCTGTTTCTACACCTGACCAGCGTGCTGAGTCTGTTTGTGCGTTCTCAGGTAGCCTTGGCGGGTGCTTTGGAAATGAGTTTGAACCCTGGTTCTTGTTTTTGGCTGAGGCTCACTAGGCTTTGGATTACCCCTTGTGATGGGAAGCCCGTGAACATATCCAAAGAAGTCATAGCTGATTTTGACCCGGGGATGAATGCAAGGAGTTCACCAAAGTTGGCTCGAAGAGCGCCGTACGTTGACCGCTCGCACCCTGAGGGGGTGATGTTTTAAGAAGACATTTTGGATGGTACGGGCGGTTTCTTGGAGAAGGGGAGCGCGTTGCTGGACAGACCTGTGGTCCTTTTGGTTTTCCCTCGATTTCCCTTAGCAAGTGTTGCTTTTTGCAGTCGGACCCTGTCATGGGACCCGGAATTTTGGGAGATTTGAAGCGGGCGCCTGATCCATCAGAGTCCTAGCTAAAGGAAGCACTTCCGCCGCGTTACAGACAAGCTCTGCGCACAGATCAGCGGAAGGAATGAACGCATGTGCGAAAGCATGCGTGAGCGTGTGGCAGGGGAATAGAAGCCGAGAAAAAGAGCCACCCTCTGCAGACGGGCCGTCCATTAGCGTAGAAGGCAACCTGAGATTGCGTGGCGCTGTGTTGGACTTGTGATCAGAGTTCGTGCCGCTTTGGCAGTTCGAGGTGTAGGTTTCGGAGGGCAGGTTGCAGCGCCACGCCTTGCAAGAGTGCTGCGCCAGCCACGAAGTCTGCACCTGGCCTTGCGAGAGTGCTGCGCCTGCCATGAAATCTGCGCCTGACCTTGCGAGAGTGTAAGAATTCTGCCTGACTTTGGGAAAGTGTCCCGCCTGCCACGATTTCTGTAATTGGATGACCTTGCGAAAGTGCTGTGCCTGCCACGAAGTCTGCACCTGACCTTGCCAGAGTGCATAGACATCTGCCTGACTTTGGGAAAATGACCCGCCTGCCACGGTGTCTCGAAGGCAGGCGCATCGCCTTCGCAGGGTCAGGAACATATTTCGTGGCCGGCTAAGCACTCTCGGAGCACAGTAGACAAGTAAATGCAAGAAAGCTACTAAATAGATGCATTGTGAGATAGATAGATAGTTGCATCTAGATAAGACAGACAGACAGACAGACAGACAGACAGACAGACAGGCAGGCAGGCAGGCAGGCAGGCAGGCAGGTAGGCAGGCAGACAGACAGACAGACAGACAGACAGACAGACAGACATTTCGGGAGCTAGACAGTCAGATAAGTAAACAGACGGACAGATAGATAGATAGCAAGGTATAGATAGTTTCCCAGATAGATAGATAGATAGATAGATAGATAGATAGATAGATAGATAGATAGATAGATGGGTAGATAGACAGATACATAGATACATAGGTAGGTGGAGACTAAATAGATAAAAGGAAGAAGAGGTTGGGAACATAGATAGATACAGAGGAAAATCTATGCGAAGCATATGCCCGGCAGACAGACAGGCAGGAAAGAGAAGATCAAACGAAAGACAAAAGGAAGAAGAAGAGAAGGAGAAGGAGAAAGTGAAAGAGAACGAGAAAGAGAAAGCAGAGAAAGAGAAAGAGAAAGCAGAGAAAGAGAAAGAGAAAGCAGAGAAAGAGAAAGAGAAAGCAGCGAAAGAGAAAGGGAAAAGGAAAGAGAGAGAAGAGAAAGAGAAAGAGAAAGAAAAAGAGGCCGAGAAAGAAGAACATAAAGAAGGAAGGAGAAAAAAGAAAGAGAAAGAGGACGAGGAAGAGAAAAGAGACAGAGAGAGAGAACAAAAGAGAAAACACAAAAAATCTATAATTTGATTTGGCCAAATGTATCCAAATCCAAGCATCGGCAGACAACCATCGCTTTTGAACGTCTCCCCCCGCCAAACAGGGCCCCCCGAACAAATGGGTGGTTTACAAATCAGGTGTTGGAATTGAATTCCATGATGGGTAGTCCTACTCATTTGTGGAAGAAACGAACCCTTCCACAGGCACTGCCTGAAAGTCTCAATCAGGGTCAACATCAAATTTCCTTGACCATGAAATCAGGCAAGGGTTCCTGGGAAGTTCTCGCCTGGCACCCAGTTGTGTCTTTTTAGAGGGGGCCGATTTGGGTTTGTGCCAAAAGGACATTGCGGCCATTTGCGCTTTCCCCTTTGACGGAGACCGCCGGATTCTGTCCAAAGGGTCAAACAGTGACGTGAGCAAAGGCTCGACCGATTTCGCGTTTCTCCGGAGAGGTACATAGAGCCCCAGGCTTCGTAGGTTCATGCCTTGAAGTCTAGGCACTCAGATCCCTGTAGAAATAAACACAAAAAAGACATGATAAATAAAGACATATGCCAGAAAGACATATGACGTCCTTTTTGAAAAGAATTGGGGGACAAGGCCCTGGTGTTTTGTTCGTATGCCGCAATGGTTTCCTGCCCCTGATGCACTCCCCTACCAATTAACAGATGGAGCCCCAAATGGGGTCCCCCAAATTGCTCAAAGGAGTTTCCTCTACAAATAAGTGTTTTTCTTGGGTTTCATGCCAAGGGGAGTATGCCCTATATCTGCGGTGGGTAGAGGGTGTGTGTCAAATGCGACGCACAACAGGAAGTTGTGGGTCTCGACTTTTGGGGCGGAGAAAACACATGGCTCTTGTTTTGGAGGGTTGAAGGTACCCTTTGTGGTTTTACATGGATCCCAAAAGGAACATCTTTTGGGTACCCCTCACTTGTTAACAAGACAAAGGAATCAACCTGGAAACAAGCCAGTCATGCATTGTTTTTGACCATGGCCCCTTTGGAAGAGGAATCCATGGCCCACTAAGCAGATGAACCGGGGGAACATGCTGTATTTATGGTGTAAACGTATGAAGGGTACGCGCCCTCTTTCGAGGTCGCAGTGGTTTGGGGGTTGAAAGCCATCTTAACTTCCACCCCCTCGCATGGAACCTGACAGAGATTGTCTTGCAAGATTTTCAGTCAGACGTAATGCTTGGGCAGAAGAGCACCCCAAGTGAGAATCGGGATGTCTCAAAATGGTGTTGCAGCCACTTTTTTCATGGTTTGAACGGGACACCAGGAGGAAACTGCTGTCGTTTACTGTCAATCTTGAGAGACATTTGGCCTAGGTATGGTTGACCATGGATGAACAACCCTGGCGGAGTAAACGCGGGGAGGTTCCACCAACAACCGGTCCGGAACCCTTCTCAGTTTGGAGGCCGACTGATCAACCAGTGTGGCTATTTATTGGCTGTCAGTAGGGGGTCATGTCCAGCCCATAAGTAGAGATGGTCATCCACCCAACAATTTTGTACTGTTGACCCTGGATTAGTCAACCTCCTGCCTGATTCATCAACCCAGGCTTGGTCGACAGAACCCATTCATTTGCCTTTGGTTCATTTTGCGCTTCCCCCACCACATGGATGACACAGAACAGCAAAATACAATTGTAGGTTCCATGGTTGTTGTTGGGAAACATTTTGCATTTTTGCTTATTGTGGTTTAGTGAGAAATCCCCACTTAACTGCAAACAAATACAAGGCTCCCCTTCCAACGTCAACCAAGGATCAGCCCATGACCCCTGAATGGTAGCTCCTCTTAAGGTTCATCCAAAACATGGCTCGCTTGGGGCTCAACATGGTCCAAGATCCCATCCCGGAGCGGGGGACGAGAAGCGAGTTTCCGACCCTCAATCCAACCTTTGATTGGAGAATCGGAGGGTTTCCCCCCATTTTTTTTTTAAAACCACAATTCACAATGGTTTTGCTGCTGCTGATTGGTTTGCTTGCAATATTCAGGGCCTGCTTGGTCCAGCGCTTGACTAAGGGTGACTGCCGAAAGCTGTCCACTTCCATTGTTGGAAAGAGGGAAAAGGCCTCGCTCCACTTTTTTGTGTCGAGAAAGGCTTGCCCGTTGTTGGCTCCTAGCTGTCCGTCCTGTCACCAATGCGGAGAATGCAGGTTGAGCTTCTCTAAGCCAAGGGCCAAGATTCATGGCAAAAAGTCCACCAGTCACGCGGTTGACCCGATGGAATCTCCCACTCGGATCATTTGGAAAGGATTGACTGGAGGGTAGGTTGTTGGGGATCTTGTAGCACTTGTTGGGGTGATTCAGGGAAGCCAAAGTGGGCCCTCCATTTCAAGGGTCCCTATTTTGACACATACGTCAGGGTTGCTTCCCTCTCCACTGATCCATGTGGGTTTTTGGACAGGCTTTTCGAAGATAGAGGCGGAGTGTTGACATCTCCATTTAAAGGGACTCTTCAAAAGCAAGTTCCACTGGGGGTGGGTGGGTTCGGTAGGACATGGGTAGTGGGCAGGGGTTCTCAGACTTTTGATACTGTGGATGTTCGAAATCCGATTCGCACCACTTCAGAACCCATGGGACACCATTGTTTGTTGGTATTTAGAGGGGAATCATCATTCTAGGGTTTCTTAGATGATGCGAACTGGATTTCCTCCATCCAAAGTAAGGGTCATGGGGACGTAGAACCCATTTGCTCTCAACACTCTCTCGAAGGGTCGACTCTGAAGATTTCCTGTTGTTCGGCCAAGGGCCACCTTTTTAGGCAACATATTGATGCCGATTCTGACAATTCTTGTACTCTTTTGCCCTTTCTCCGACAATCATGGAGGCGAACCATCAACAGGAAAAGAAAAAACTGCTAAGGTAAGAGGCTCAAGAACTGCTCATTGAAGCATGACTATAATCAGGTATCCCCGATTTTTTTGGATTTGAACCCCTGAAATGAGACACTGTCCTTAACCACCAAACCACCAATCCAAAACACCAACTGGAGGGAAGCTGACAAATACATGCATATATATATATATGTATACATAAATATCCAGCTTTAAAGTACCAACATCCCCACACCCCCGTCCCAATTAGTTAAGCCCTTAACGGCTCGGGTTCAACCGCATTTCCTGAAGCCGCGTGCGCTTACTTGCCGGCTGTGCCGACCCGTCCCGGGCGAGGGCGGCTCACGCAGCCCTGAACATGGATCGGGACAATTGGGGTGCATACTTATTGAATCATGACGTGGAATCATTAAGCATAATGTCATCCCGTATTTCAATACTTTACACAATAACATGGAATCATTAAATGTGGGATGGAGAAGTGCACAGATGTGCCGTTCGCCAGCACCTGAGTCGGCGATCCCGATTCGACCAAACAAAAGGGGGTACTGCACCCTCCAGGGCGAAGTGAAAAAGTCGAAGCGACCTTCCTGTTGGAACTTAGACAGGTCTTCCTGCCAGCGCCCAACTTGCACACCTGGGGCTGTGTGACAACCCTCTCCAACCCAACACATATCCATATGGCAGTATAAAAACTATATGCCGCTGTCCATTTCGACAAGCCCCCATCCAATTCGGGATTTGAGGCCTTATGGATTTCGGTGTTCCTTTTGGTTTCGCTAAGGGCCAGGTGAAAAGGGTAGCTTGAGCCTCAAAAACAACACACGCGTCCACATGGTTTCCTTCATCTCCAAGCCTTTAAATGATCGGACATCAGGGTTCATGACGGGGCCCGTTTTGGGGTCCCTAAACGACAGCTCAAGACCGTGGCTTGGCGTTTTTCCGTTTTTCCTTCTTTCGGAGTTGGTGCCCGTTTCGGGTTGGTTTCACGGGGGAAACCCAAAAGGAAAGTCGAAATCCATGTTGAATCCCGATTTCCTCTTTTGAGACGTGCCATGAGGTCCTGCAATCTTCTCAAGCTAAGGGATCAACCAGGCAGATGCATTTTGAAACTGCAGAAGATGGTGTTTTCGTGACATTCCAACCACCCTCTTCCCAAAAGGGAGTGTTTTCTTAGCGTTGGTGTCCCTTGTTTTTTTGTGTTTTCAGAGCTGAATGGACACCGAGGCTGGGGTTAGAACTTGATTTTGATGGGTTTCTCTTAGGGAAATGGTTGCCGCTTTGGATGATCTTTCTGCCTGTTTTCATAGCAAGCTCACCGATTTGGGGTACAACGAGCGCACCATGATAAAGGTCCTTTTTTTTCACACAGAAGATCCCGTATTTCAGGTTTTATATGATAGCAGCAGGAATCTTTGATGGACTTAGGTTTAGGCGGCCTTTGGGTCCCGAAACCGCCAGGCAAGCGCAGAATTCGAGTCGCCCTTTGGTGGTTTGGATCGGTTTGGGGGATTGAACCCCTGGTTCTTGTAGAAGTTATATGGGAAACCACTCTTTGCCCTGTAAACCACCTATCAAAACCAGCAATTGGGGATGGGAGCTATGGGAAAACCACATGTCACAAGTTGCTCGGCTCGTAGTTTGGCGCTTCAAGCTTCTTGTTGAGAAGAGGAAGAATGTGGGTCTGTCTTTTTTCGAGAACTCCCCTTTTGTGGCTGTAGAGGGAAGCCAAAAGGAACACCACATGTTTTTGGTTTTTTTTTTGGGGGGGGGCTCCCTAAAAATCGACACCCAAGTGTGTTTCCAGGCCTTTGCCAAAGTTCCTGCGATGGGTTTGACTCGATTTTGCCACGCCGCTTGCATCAAGATCGAGCCTATAGGCATCAATACTGTGGATCCAAGTCTTTTTGACTTGGGTGGGAGACAATCGGAATCCATGATCTGAATCCACTGCACTGTGACAAGGTGTTGGATTCTTAAAGACTCACCTAGACTGCCTGTGTCAAACATAAGGACCCTTTTTTTCGTTGGCTTCAAGGGACAACAAAAGCCGCTGTCCACACATTTGGGGATTGCCCCCCCAATTTGAGAAGACCGAACACAAGGATTGGACCACGAGAGCTGACACGCCTTGTGGAGTCATCCAGACCTATGACTCCCCCCAACAACACATCCAGCCTAGCCCTTTTCGCCCGATATGTGGCCATACGGCAGCCTCTTCTTGGCTTCCTCCATGGTTCTCGCGGCTCGAGTGGGCCTTTCGAGCTCCCATTTCCGGGGGGTTTTGGAGAGCGGGTGGAAAGTTGCCCTGGGCCCGAGAAATGGTTCATAGCCCGCGGGTTCGGAGACTTGACAAGGCAGCCAGCCCGTTTGTGAATCGCACTTGTGCAGAGTTGCTGCCCTCGTCCCACTACTGGACTGATTTATTTATTTATTTCTGCAGGGGGCTGAAGCAAATGGATGACTCAAGTCGGAGCCCCGAAATCTTGAGCATCGAAGTAGAAGCAACTCTTAAGCGGCGCGCACCCTGAATATGTGAGTTGGACAAAGGTTTGGGGGCTGTTTGCTGAATGGGGGGAGGTTCCCCTTATTTGGTTTCTCTTTGAGCAAACCATGGCAAAAGCACCAACTCCAAACAGGCGGCTATGAGTTGCAACGGGGCACTCCCTCGAACATTGTGGACACAATCTCCTTGCAAATCATGCACAAGGGGTCCCCAGTGTAATTCATACCCATTCATGGCTGGTGTGACCGAATCGCCCACACACAAGGTTAGGCCTTTTGCTGAGGGGAGATGAGCAACCCAGATCCCTTCACGCAGAAGGAATCTGAACTGCCAACTCCAGAAGCAATACCGTGCCAAATGATTTGGCAGGCGTGTTTGGGTACCCTCGAAACCCAACACACAACCATTTTTTTGAGCCCAAATCCTACTGTGGATGGACGACATCCAATTCGCACCAGTTGGTAGTTGGTTTATCCCAGTATATATTTACAGGGTTCTGTCCATCCCAGGTGCGAATCGGATTTTGTCCGTACGTTGACGCATACACCTGGAATCCGCCATGGATTCCCGAGCTTCAAAGGGCTGCAAAGGTCCCTTCACATCGGATGGAGGGATTCACATCGGATGTTCGTTGAGTTAGAGTCCAAGTGAGCCACGGGTTTTTCAAGGCCTAGGCCTATGAACATCCAATTTGGAGAGCCATGGACAGGATTTGCCCGTTTCGAAAGTAGCTCTTTAAAACGGTTCTTGGCAAACCATGGCACTTGAGTCGGACTTGCTTTAGTGGTTGGGCCAATCTTTGGACGTTCCCTCAAGCCTCACAGGGCTATGAATTTTGATTGGGGATCCTTTGGTGGACCTCGGAGTTTCGTGGGGATTCATGCCCACCATTGTCCACCAACCATAGGGAAAATTCATAGCCACACAAGGAACCAAGAACTCCCCGCCCCCCAATTTCGATGGTTTCTTGCGGTTCCCTTTGACATCTCCCCAAAAAAGGGTACCCTCCAGAACGACGCCCGAACAGACACTACAGGCCATGTGTGTGTCTGTGTGTGGCTCCTTTTTTGGCGCGATCCCTTCGGTTTGAGGTGCACGGCCTGGAGGTGTTCGGGCGGTGCCGAAAGTGGACCAGCGAGACCTTCGACTTCACCGGGCATCAGCTGCTGCAGGGCAAGGCCTGACCTCAGGGGCGCCCCTTTTAAGTTCCTTTTGGCGCCCAAAACCGCCCAAAAGGGTCGATTGATGGCGATTGGAAGGTTCCGGCGAGAAACCCAAAGCCACAAAACCACAAAGGGCAAATACACAGAGAGGCCATAGCAAGGTTTATCAAAATGGGATTCGGACTCTATTTTCGTATCTAAAGGAAGCCAAGAGGAAACCGAACCCAAGACGGGACCACGATTTTCAGAGGCCAGAGGCATCCATACGTGTCATGTGTTTTCCGCTTGGTGCCCTTGTTCTGTTGTTCTTTAAGAAAGCAATCACTCATTTTGGGGTTCCCGGTTATCAACCAAAAACACCATACAGTGCTTCCCTGAGCCCCTTCTTCTCCAGCTTTCAGAGGTGGAGAGGTGTAGCCCTCATCGTTACAATGTTGCATGGACTTATGTCGTCAGCAACACCGCCTTTTGAAGACTTACAGAAACAAACAAGTGCCCGAATTCGCTGTTTAACATTTAAGTCAAAACGTTTACGCAACGCAAGTCAAAGTGCGAGTTCGAATTCGCCAAGCCTTTCTAGGAAGCGGCTCGGCCTTGGGCCTAAGCCGAAATTGGCCCCTTCCAGAACAGTTGGAAGTTTTCTGGGAGTCAAAACAGGATTCGGAGCTCCTGAAGCAAAAGCAAACACCGCATCATGCCGTGGTTTTGGTTGTGTTCATTTTTTCAGCCTGCCTGCAAAAACATGCCAAAGATGTTCCCTACGTTTCTGGTCTTGGTCTTTGATGTTTGGGAAGACCATCTCTTGCAAACAACACGTTTCGACAATGTTTTTTAGCAACTCCCAAGAAGTGAGGTCGGGGTTTCTTGGCCAAGAGTGTGCCAGCGAGAAATCGTTGTTCCTCTGATACTTGGTTGACTGGCCAACAGTGTTGCTCGGATGGTAACGATGCTAAGCTAACTGATGCAAATTATGCTAATGATGCTAACTTTGCTAATGATGTTAACAATGCCAATCATGCAATTGATGCTATTGATGGTAATGATGCTAATGATGCTACTAATGCCCATGATGCTAATGATGCTAGTGATGCTGGCGATGCTAATGATGCACCAGCTCCCAACGGCTCAGGCCCTTTAAGGGAAAAGCAGGTTCTTTACACAATGAACTTGCCCAGATGGCTGCTGCACCTGCAAGCTTCTAGACTTTCAGAGTTTAGAGACCCCAGCAAGAAAGTGTCAGTAGGTTGTTTGAAGAATGATTTAGCTTGGCGGTCCCCAGACCCAACAGCAGCAACCCCAACAGGTTTTGCTTCCTCTCAACATGCTTCCGGATTGTGTGGGTTCCTTCAGATACACTTTGGGCCCGGCCATTTTCGGGAATTGTGGCAGCTGTTGGCGGTGTCCAAAAATTAGATGATCCTTTGTTTTGAGGGAAACCAAAATGCTATCAATCAATTTTGAGGGCTGTGGTGGGTTTTGGGAACACCGACATCAAGAAGAGGGTTTTGTGAACTCTGAGTACCCTTCAGGCAAGCAGCCTTCTTCCCACTAGAAGGCATCTGGGTGCCTGCAAGATCAATTTCCATGGCTAGGTAATCTTTTACTGGGGATAGATCATTGCAATAAATTACATATTGATCTTCAACGAGGAACTCCTGTAAGCGCGCGTCATCAGCTCGTGCTGATTATGTCCCTGCCCTTTGTGCACTCCCCCCGGTCGCTATCGATTGAGTGATCCAGTGAAGAATTCGGACTGACGCAGTGCACAGCCCTCAAGGCCTGATTTTGGTGGGGAGAACAAGTGTCCACCACTTTGAGGCGGTAACTCTAAACCAGCCATCGAGGGGCAGAAACATAGGTTTTTGAGATCTGCAGGTCTGGGTGCTCTTCTCTAGCAGCTTCTTCCACGGCGCCTTGGCTGTCTGGCAGGGGTCCATGGTAAATACCTTGTTCTTCAGTCTGGGGTTGACATGATCCTGAAAAGTGGGTATTTGGTGTGGGTCTTTATATTTCCCTGACCATCATCGCCAATCTTGGGTCTGATTCTCCTAGTGGGGAAAAACAAACCACCCAACTCTCCCTGTGCAAATGGCAACCACCAAGTTGAGTGTTCGCGGGCCAGGTTCGCAAGTTGACGAGTTGCCTGGGTTATTTCCAAGCCCCAAGTTGGTTTGAGCCTAGGGGCTGCAAAACTCCCAAAGCAGTGGCTAACCACCTCCCTGGGCGAATCCGACGGCTTCGATTCGATTCGATTCGATGTTTGATCGAGCGACTAGGCAGCCACTCCCATCTGCTGCGTGAGCTGGGGCTCTTTTGGCTCAGCTCGCCGGCGGAGAAGGACTGGGCCGCCTTCGGTTCGGTGAGGATCCGGTTTCGGTTCTAAAGCGGGTGGTGCACCCCAAAATGGTACCATTGGTTTTGACCCACAGCCATCGAGCAGGGGTTGGGTCATTGGGTTCCTCCTTTTTTCGTTTTGGTTGCCAAAGGGGAAGGCAAAAGGTGGTTGAGTGGCAGTTTGGCGGGGGTTCCTCCGGTTCCCTTTCAAGGAAACCTCCAAAAGTGGCGGTTTCGATTCAATGGACACCGCCGGTAGATTCATCAACTTTTGATGTGGGGATATTCAGTGACCTGATTCAGTGGAGCTTTTCCTAGCTGAAAGTCTTGAGTCAAAACATGGAAGTCTTGCGACAATCATGTCCAGGGTCCTTAACGGTCTAGTACTTTCTGCCAGAGAGAGTGCACCCAAGTATGCAAACGTTTCATTCTTGAGGTGTGCAAGTCCCAACTTCCAACTGCCCGAAACCCAGCCAAGAGAAAACCCTCAACCAAAGCCCACTCCAAGATAGTGTGTCCTGCATCTATGATACCAAGAAATACAAAGCTAACCCTCCCCAGAGAAAGGCTTTTGGAGCCTGAACCAACCTCGGACCTGGCCCAAAGACATGTTCCCTTGGCTCAGAGCCACCCGCTCACCCACCCACCCCTAACTTCCATTTGCTCAAGAATGCTTGTTTCTTCCCTGTTGGTTTTAAGGGGAATCTCAGATTTGTCTCATGACTGGGCGCGACACCTCCGGCGCCAAAGGACATCCCCGGGAAGATGTAGCTATCGGGAGAGAGAGAGAGAGAGAGGGACAGGAGTTACTGGGCATCTGTTTTCTATTTTTCCCCAGCAAAGGGAAGCGAAACCTCAGGAGTTGGGGTCTGTGCTCTTCGTGTCCTTGTGGCTGCTGAGCGGCGCCTTCGGGTGCTTCGTCTCCTGGCTGGCCCTGAGAAGCTTCCTACGCACCAGCCCCGACTACTCGGAGATGCCCCGGCACCACGTGGCGCCTCAGTCAACCAGAGGTCGCTCGATTTGGGTGTGGGTCAAAATGAAACCACCACGAAACCTGGACCGCAGGTTTTAGTCCTTGAAGTAGTTCCATTTACCAGGGTGTCATCTTGGGTACCTATTTTGGACCGACAGCCATTTCCCAACCTTTTGTAAGGACCAACAGATACATCTTCGCAACCGAGACTTGATCAACATCCAAGCCCTGACTTCACTGTTCTTGGCGTGGTTTGTTTTGGGGGCCGAGTTGCAGGGGTCAATGACGTGCGACGTTTTGCATTTCCCCTGGTTAACTCACAGTAAGGTGCAACTTGGGGGCAGAAATCTAGCGACCCCTGTGAACCTCAACCCCCACCCCAAAAGCAACCCCAGCACCCAAACCCAGCTTAAACCCGAAACATACGGAGCCTCCGACCCAAACTCCAGGCTGCCTTTGCTTGCTTGCCAGATTTATGACAATGGCATTTCTCCAGGCTTCAGACCTATCCTTTCAGAGGACTTTCCCAAGTCAACCTGCCCCCCCCCCCAAAGAAAAAAACATGTCCCCGCCTTACCCGTGGAACATCCACCAAAAGTTTGCAAAGCGGCTCGACGTAGGAAGCTGAGTCAGGTTGAAGGGGCGCAAGGGTTGATCGGCGCTTTGGGGCTTCGGTGCGACGGGATGCGAGATCGTTAGGCTTGGGTGAGGGAGAATTTCCCCAAAAGGTTTCTTCCCCCCTCCCCCCGGACCCTCCAAAAATGGCCCAGATCTTCCTATGGTTGGTTTCTAAAATGGGAGAGAATGGCTCGTATGCCAAGGGGTCTTTTGCTTGACCCCGCGCCGAGATGGGCCAACAACGCTGGCAACTTTGGGGACTTTGACGAAGATGATGACTTGCTGGCACAATAGGTAGGGAATTACTTTCCGAGTTTCCGGGTTTTGGGTTTCAGGTTTTGGGTTTCAGGTTTTGGGTTTTGGTTTTTGGACACCAAATCGGGGATGGTGTTTTTTTGCGGGGTCATGCCATTTCTCATTCCTTGAGAACCAGCAAAAGAGCCGGCCCAATCCAGGGCGCCCTTATGGCAAAACACCGGCAACAACAGAATGGATATGTAACCATATGGGGGTTTTCTAAATACGGGACCCCTTTTTGGATGGTCTTTTATGGGGAAATCAAAAGGACACCCACCTAGAGGGTCCCGAATTTTGAGAAACACCCATATCTACCAAAGGGTTTTCACTGGTGATGGACGCAAAAAGTGCAGCCGTGTTCCAAAGTAAAGAACCTGTGAATCAACCCTCTCCTTTGTTGGCTGGTCCTCAGCAGGGAATGAGGGCCCCCATAAGCTATCCAATTGGTGGCTTCCTTAAACGGAATCCCAAACGGTCATTTCTCATTCCTGCCTATCGCACCAGCAAAAGAGTCCCCTACCCCAACCCCCCCCCCCACCCACCCCACACCTCCCCCCCCACCCCCCCCACCCCACACCTCCCCCCCTACCCCCCCACCCCCCCACCCCCACTCCCCACCTCCACCCCCAAACAACCTTTGGATCAACTCTCCCCTTCTTCCCCAGAATTAGCCCCTTTTTGTTCTTTTGCCTTTTTGGGGTCCCTTTGTTTTGCACCAACCAGGCAAAAAAGGTTGTCTTTTTGGGGTCCTAATGCCAGCCTAGCCTGCTCCGTTTGAGGACGCCGTGGCGGATTTCTCCAACTCGCGGGGCTCCAGCGCCTCCGTCTACGGCGCCTGCGCCTGCGCGGCCCTCGTCGCGGGGGCGGCGCCCGCGCCGGTGCCGGCGGCCCGGGCGCCTGGTGCCTTTTTTTGGAGGTGTTACCAACTGCTTTGACGATTCTTCCAGTTTTGTTCGATGCTTTTTGGCGTTTTTTCCAGTGGTTGGCGACGTCTCCAATCTCGTGGGATGGTTTTGTTTGCCCCTTTCCAAGTTTGTTTAAAACCTTTTTACGTGTTTGTTTCCTTTCCGTTTCTGGAAAGGTTCTCATTCATGAACCGACCAAAAAAGTGCCCACCTTCTTCCCGGAAATCGCTGAGGTCTGGACCTTGCGCCAGTGCCTTGGCCAAGGATTAGTTTGTGGCTTGGTTTGCCTCGCTCCCAGAGTTCTGTGTGGGTTTGGGCCCATTCTACATGGCTGCCATTAAGCCCCCGGGCAGAGTTCTGTGTGACTTCGGGCCTGTTTTGTTTTTACACTTTTGGTGCCGTTCAGCCCCCGGCGGTCTCGACAGAGTTGGCAAACCGAGCAGAGTGAGATCTCGTTACCTGCGGATGCAAAACTTGCACTTTGAGCATGTTGAGCACCTCTGCCATTTTTTTTCGTGTGTCCCCAGTCAAGGGACACCAACATCTGGTCGCTTAAGACAAGAAAACAGGCAGCTCCAACTTTTTCCAAGCCAAGTCAGCAGGTGGCTTAATTAGTGGTTATTGTTGTTGTGTGCATCATTATCATGATGATGTTTATTTTCATTAGCATTATCGGTATTATTGCCATTTCTACTGCTATCATTAAGTATTATTGGTAGTTGCATTCATCATCTAATTATCATTGTCCTTCATTAATGTGTTTCTTTCTTTCCTTCTTTCTGCACTCCTGTATTCATCTTGGTGCTTTCAATTTTGTCTTCGTCATTTATTATCCATTGTCATTTTTTGTTTCAAACAAACATCATTATCAATGATAATAATAGTTTGTATTATTTATTGTTGACTATTCTTATTAAACACTATCATTATTCGTAGTATAATTAGCATTATTTCAATTTAGTGATCTTATTATTTGTTTTGTTCCTTCTTATATATTATTATTATTATTATTATTATTATTATTATTATTATTATTATCATTATTATTATTATTATTATTATTATCATTATCATTATTATTATTATTATTATTATTATTATTATTATTATTATTATTGTTATTATTATTATTATTATTATTATTATTGTTATTATTATTATTATCATCATCATTATTATTAGCACTCTTATCATTCTCATTATGATTTAAACTTTTCTGCACTTCAGTGGCTAGGCAAACCTTTTTAGCGTCGGCAAACACCTTGGGAGCTTTTTGGGTCACGGAAAGTGAGTCTTCCAAAAGGGGTCTGCGCACTTGCGTTGTGTTCGCCCCGCTTCGGTGATAGCCCCAAGGGTTCCCAAACCTTCCGGAAAGACCCTAAACTATTGGTGGAAAAGCTACTTCACCCTAGGTGTTTGGGAAGTTGAAATGGCAGTGGGTCAAAAATATGGTGCCTTGGCGGAACCAAGAGCTAGAACCAGCATCATCAGCATTAACAGCATCAACAACATCAACAACATCAACAGCATCAACAGCATCAACAGCATCAACAGCATCAATAGCATCAACAGCATCAACAGCATCAACCGCATCAACCGCATCAAGAGCATCAACATCATCAACAGCATCACCAGCATCGTCATCAGCATCATCAGCATCATCATCAGCATCATCATCATCATCATCATCATAACCGCAAACCCTTTTGGAGCCCTCGCTAGATGCTCCCAACCTATCGACCCCAACTCTAAATCAGCTGTTCTGGACCAAACGGTGACGTTAGAACCAACAAAAAAGTCGAACCAAAGGGAACCCTGCTAACTTGTTAAAAGATATTGAAATCACTATCTGGGTTTGCCTCAACAATGGTTGGTTTCCCCTTTTCGTGCCCACACCACACCACGGTTCAAGAGAACAGTTGGAAAACAAGTTGATAGAACAAAAACAACTACCTCGAGGGGAATCCAAAATCCAAACCCTAAATGGACCTTCGCCAAGTCTCCTGGCCGACCAGATGATTTCGCCGCCGGCGTTTCCCTGGGCGGTGCTGGTGCTGGCGCGGCTGCTGCCGGAGTGGCTTGTTTGAAGAATTTTCGGGGCCCTTCGCTTCCATTTGCAGAAAGCGTTTCATTGTCCCCTGTTGTTTTGAAAGGGATTTGTCGTCACTGGAAGTGTTTGTTTTTCGGCGCCTTAGGCAAATGGAGGCTTCAGGAGCTGGGTTTCCTTTTGGTTTCCCCTCAACTTGCTACCTAGATAGCCAAGTTCCGCTTTTTGCTTTTTACAGACGCATTACTAAAACTCAGTGACAGTTGCTGGGAAAGATAAAAGGGCAACTGGATGGCTCCATGTAGACCTTTTGGAAGCACATGACTTTTCCATGAACCTACAAAAGCTCTAGCGACCTTTTGGCTGTTGGAATCCTTCTGGTTTCCCCTCGAAGGCAACCAAAAAGGGAACCCATCTCTAGAAACACCGAAGTCTGGTTGTCTTATGGTTCAACGTCGACCGTTTTTCTGCATTATCCTGCAAAGCTATGTTATATTTAGGGTCGACTGAATATGAAACAGAATCTGAACTTATGATTTTTTGTGGACCCCAGATCTGGACTAAGTTTTATGGCGAGCTCACTGATTTGGGGGGTAAGACGAGCTGAATATGATTGAGGTTCTTGACCTGCTTTTGAAATTTCTGTTAAGAAGTACGGATGACAGTGACCTTTGTGGCTATCAAAGAAACGTTCCAAGGGAAACCACTGTTCCGGTGAAACGTGATGCTGTGGGTTGCATCCCTTGGAGCATCCCTAAAGAATCGTTGTCGATTTCCCAGCAACCCAAGATCCCCCAAACGGTTGAGGGCCCGAACTGTGGGGGGTCGTTGCGGGGTACAGGGATTTGAGTGTACCTTTTTCAGGGTATTTTTCTGGATGGTGTTAAAGGGAGGCCAAAACGGTGGCAACATTATTTGAGATGCGCACTCTATTGTTGGCAGTTGTTCCGAAAGGGCACCATGGAAATAAAACAGCAACAGGCCTAAAACTGTCTTTTGTAGGCCCCCGAAAAATTGGTGTTCCCTTGGTTTCCCTTTAAACCAAAAAGGGGGTAGCCTCAAAAAAGACGAGCCGATCTCAAGGCTGCAGGGGGTCATTTTCAGGTTCGTCTCGCCTGTGAGCACGCGGCTCCGGAAATACCCCCTCTGCTGCCCGGCAAGCAGAGGGTGCCGCGATGCGTGGGCGAAGAAACGGGCGGCTCGAGTGGTTGGTTGGATACATGGATGGACGAATTGACGAATAAATAGGTAGATGAATTGGTTGATGGGTTGGTGGGTGGGTGGGGTGGTTTTGGATGGGCAGTTTGATTGCGTCGAAGGCTTACATTGAACATATGGTCGTTGCCATCCCCCGGATTTGTGCCAAAATTGGCGCCAGCGCCCTGCTTTGTTGCGGGCCGGAAACCCAAAAGGCAAAGGGCAAGTACCGAAGGCCGTAGGAGGGCTGAGAGGCAACAATGGAGTCTTCCTCGGAGGAAGTTTATTCATCTATATATACATATATATATATATATATATATATATATATATATTTGTATATATACATATATATATATATATATATATATATATTTGTATACATATATATATATATATATATATTAGGCCTTGCCTCTATCAATAAATGACCCCCCTTCTTTATCAGTGCTAGGGGGTATTTTGGGCAGTTGTTCGCATTTTGGACAGTTGTTCCATACTGATGGTGGGTATAGTTAATACAAATTGTTGGCAGGGTCACTATTAGTTCATACCAATTTATACCAGTTTGATACCAATGTTTATACCATGTTGATACCAATTTGATACCAATGTTTATACCAATTGTATACCACATGTATACCAAAGTTATGCCAAGTTTATACAAAAATTAAACACATTGTATGCTGCAGTTATACCAATGTTATACATTTTGTGTTACTACATTTATTAATACCATATTTGGGCTCAGATGTCATATCCCGTTGGTATAAAATCTGTAAAATTGATACAACATTGGTATGAACAATTGGTATGAACATGGTATGAAAATGGTATGAAATCTGGCCCGTAAAATTGGTATACATCCACTAAACCCCAACGGCACGGCCAGATTTCATACCAATTTTTGCATCCCCGGATTTATACAAATGTCATACCAATTTCATACCAATTTCATAACAATTTTCATACCATGTGTTATATCAATTTTATACAAATTGTATGCCAACTGGGTATGACATCTGAGCCCACATATTGTATGACATGTGTATAATGTGGTACCAACAATGTATAACATTGGTATAAATGTAGCATACAATGTGTTTTAAAACTGTATAAACGTTGTATAAATTTGATATAAATTTGGTATAAATGTGGCATATACAAGTATGAAATTTGTATTGATTGGTATCAAGTTGGTATAAACATTGGTGTCAAATTGGAATCAAATTGGTATCAAATTGGTCAAATGGGTACTGACTTGGCCTAAAGAGTTATGCAGGGAGCTGAGAGTTTGAAGACACCCAAGAACAGAGCCGCTACATCCTTCAAATGGCGCAATCCCGACTGTTTTTGGACGTCGGTATGTGTTTTGTCGAGTGTACCCTCAAGGGGTTGCTTTTAAGGGAAACCAAAGCGAATACCACCATTGTTGGGGTCTTATGTCAATACACACCGATATGTGCAATGGTGAGACCCGTTTGTCATGGACCTCAATGGGGAATTCAGATACCCATTGCAAGGGTTCCTAAGGAAGGGAGCCATGACCATGGCCCGCATTTCAGCTTATTTTAGATTCTATTCGACAATGCAACCTTATTTTGGTTCAGCTTCAATCACTTCTTGACAAGGTGTCCGGGTAGTGGTCTCACCCTTGTTTGCCTCGCATCGACCGGGAAGTGCCCATAGAAGCACAAGCATGAGCAACAGTCAATGCTCGCTGCCAACTGAGTAGTACCAAGCACCCACCGATTGACTGCACAATTTCCAGTTTGGGCTATATAGAACCGGGTTTATGCGGAGGTCAGGTGCGGTAACCACGAAGCTAAATCCCAGACCATCTGAGTAGCTGGTTCTCAGACTTCGAGCCTTGCAAGCTTTTGACACATCGTCTTTTGGGCTCCGGTAAGGAGAGTTCCCTTGAATGGGGTGATGTTAAAGATGAAATGTAGGGAACAGTGTGCGAGCTGCGTGGTCTCCACGGTCGCCCAGAAACAACCCCCAGTTTTTATTAGCATCTTTAAAGACCAGCTGTTTAAACAACTGACTTTTGGGTTTCCTCCTGCTTACACCACTGCCTGACGTGCCGGGTTGGCATTTACACCAGCGCCTATCGTGATTTGCTGAAATATGCAGGTGTTTCCTGTGCCTTTCAACGTTGGCATTTGGGCGCTTTTGTATCTTGACGCGCCTAGTCACCTACAAATACACCAGTAGCCACTAGCACACAGCAACACCCACCACACAACTACCATTGTTTGCCGTGGAGGTTTCATCTAAATTGGGTCCCACGGCCATCTTTTATATGGAGCTTGAAGCCCTAAAGTGGCCACACCACCAGAAGGTCAACGTTGTAGCAGAGCTTCCCTCAAGGTTTCTTTTTTTTTGCTAGGAGTTTCCTTTTCCAACTGGAAATCATCCAAACCTTTTGGGGCCTTTGAACAACTAAGACATCTGGGTGTCTTTTGCTGAGGCCAAACCCTTCCGAAACATTTCCGGTCTAAAGGTCCAGCCTGAGGCTCTCTGCTGGTCTCGCTCTTGCTCGCCCTGGCCTCTGCCCAGCTGCGCTTCGGACTCTCTGTGGCCCAAGCGCTGAGCTTCTGGCGCCTCTCTTCGCAAAGCCTGGGGTGGTCTCAGCATGGGACGCCTATGTCTAAGGGTGGAAGTACATATCCCTGGGCTTCCCACCCACTTTTTAGAGGTATGTGTTCCTTTTGGGGAGAGGGGTATGAACATCAGCAGGCCTGTTGGGTTCATTTGCCAAGAAGTATGTAAAAGGGGTATGTACAACCACCCCTGTATGGGAACCTTATGTTTTTTGGGAAGCCAAGGGGTGGGTTTTGTGGATCCACGCCTGTAGGGATATAGTAGAAGAGTACTAAAAGATGACTAAGAAAGGACCAACAGGGGGGGGGGTTGGCAAACCGCTTCTGGATTTCTGGGTGGGTCCGCTCTGAGTCCAAAGGTTACCTACTGGACCATTGATCAGCCAGCATTGAACTCGTTTTGCATCCATCGCAACTGGCGCGATTCCTGGATTTTGTCTGTCCACTGGATGACAGTCTTGTCTTTTTTGGGGTGGATCGAGACGAACACTCACATTTTTCAAGGCAACATTGTTGCATTGGCCTGGCTGGGTCCAAGTTTGGGAAGTTTGGGAGTTCTTTTCTTTGCGGTTGGGGCTTTGGGGTCGTCTTTTTCTGAGGCCCCCGTTGGTGTGGCGGGAATACCGAAGCCATTTGGGGGCGGGGGACCCTAAAAGAAGGACCCCAAAAGCTCTGGGTCGGGATCCCAAAGCTGGTCTTTGGACGACCGTTTTCCAGGGGTCGTGTGGGGTTTTCTGGCCAACAGTTCTTCCACCGCGACGTGTTTTCGCCGCCTTTCAGGGGGCCTTACCGAAGTGAGGTTCAAAGAATGGCTTCGCCTCTCTCTCCCGTTAGGGAGGGTGGCCAACCCAACTTGAGGCTCGGGTGCCGAGCCCATCAAGTTCAACTCAGATCACCACAAAACAACGGCGCAGCTTGTTCTCATTTTTTCAGACACCGCCGCAAAGCACACACTTTGTTTGTCTGCTTTTTTTTCCACACACGACTGAGTTTGGGGTTAATACCCCGAAGGTATGGTTGGTATTGACAAGCGGCAATCCGAACTCTTGTTGTACCTCTATGTATCGAGGAACCAAACAACCTCAACTTCAAGCGAGTGAGGTGTTGGGTGAACACCCCAAACATATGGCAGGATTCACCGAAACAGAACAGGCCACGCCTATGCAACCGACTTACTGAGAGAAGAACACACGTCTTCACCATTTTCTAAGGCGACATGAGGTCCAGAATATGACAAGATTTGCTGAACCAAAAAATATGGATACTTTCTGAAAGCACATGAAACCACGACACAAATCAGATCAATGTATCAAGCACCCAACCACCCACAGACCCACCCACCCAACCAACCAACCAAGCAACCACCCACCAACCAACGACCCAACCACCCAACCAAACAAACCAAACAAGCCAACCAACCGACCACCCCCCCACCCCCTCAACCGACCAAATAAACAAACCTATCTGCCAAGTTCAACTGAGGTTCGGGGTGAACTCCTTGCTGCGGCTGTGCCCCTCTCTGCTGGCCCTGCCTCCAGTCGCCGAGTACGCCGCCACGGACTTCACGGGGCCACTCGGCGCTCGATACGACGAGCTTCGGGGGCTCGTCGACGATTGCAGCCCGGGGTTCGACCAAATCTACTTGAGACAGTTTCCGACCATAGGATTCCTAGGCGGTCTTCGATTTTTCGAGTTTCTGCAGTGGGATTTGGTTGAACCAAATCGGTGTACAATGGTGGTTGGAAATGGGGAGGGGGGGTTAGTGCTTCTCACTTTCTGTGAGTGGCCAAGGGAATCCCAGCGATCAAGCAGTCATGGGAATCAACTTGGCAATGCCAAGCTGTCAGCCAGCACAGCTTTCCGAGACTTTTTTTTTGCAGACGGCTTTTCGAGTTTAGAGGGATTGATTTATATATCTCACTAACAGTGTGGAAAAAGGTCCAAGGATTTGGCTCTCGAAGTTGATTTTGGACAGCCGTTTTAGAGGAATCTCCTTTTTGGGAACCCCTTGTTGGCTTCCTCGTTCATTTGCAGGGCAGGATAAATGTCATGTTAGCTGTTTGAAACCTTGGAGCTTTTCTCCGCAACGGGTTCCTTTTGAACCCGTTTGGTCACACATTCTGAGTCCAAACTCATACAGTCCAAGAGGTGCAACTTGATTCTCTTGCCTTCTCCCAAAGGACTGTGTGACGAACACTTGGACGTTTTCCGCGCCAACCCACGCAAATCGAGCCAGAGGATCACACCGCAAACAACGTGCCAGAAGTCTTTTGGAACAAGTTCTTGAAGGCGATATTTGCAACATAGACTTTTGGTTTGATTCGCACCAAGCCTAAAACCCAGGTGATAAAGTGATGTGTGTTATTTGCTGCTGATAGCGGTGATGCAGGTGATGCAGGTGATGCAGGTGATGCAGGTGATGCAGGTGATGCAGGTGATGCAGGTGATGCAGGTGATGCAGGTGATGCAGGTGATGCAGGTGATGCAGGTGATGCAGGTGATGCAGGTGATGCAGGTGATGCAGGTGATGCGTGTTGCGCATGATGCAGGTGATGCCAGTGGCGCAGGTGATGTGTGTGATGGTGATGCATGTTAGAGTGATACAGGTGATGCTGGTGATGCGTTTGAATGCATGGGTGGCATATGATGCAGGTGATGCAGGTGATGCGTTGCATGCAAGTGATGCATGTAGTTTTGGCAATGCTGCACTGCCAGCTGGCCATCAAGTTTTGGGCTCACAACATCAAGCAAGATGGACATTAAATGCAATTTGGGTTGGACCCTCCAATAGCCAAACAAAATGCACGGGATAGGCATCAGTAGCTGGTCATCTTCCTGCCACCATCCCCAGCCTTTTTCGTGTCTTCTCCGCATTTCGCTTGGGAGCAATGGTTTGGGGTGGAAACACCCTCAGTCGGCCAAGTCTTTGAAGTGTTCCAGCGAGCGGCCCCAGAACCTTCAAGAGAAGCGTTCCCTTTTGTCAGTCAGGCACCTGGTGGGAGCCTGCTATGGCGCAATGTGCGGAATGTGCTTCCTTATGATCACAGGGGGGTCCTGGCCAGGCGGCTTCGCATCCCCCCCCCCTCTTGAAAGATGCCGGTAGGATTCAAGCCACCAATGGGGTTGAATATAACCACCTCATCGTTAAATTGGGGATTGCAAGGGGCCATGGGTGATATTTTTTTCGGAAAGGGGAAGGCTCTGGGGGTTTAGCATCTCGGCGTCCCTTAAAAGGAAGCCGCAAGTGCTGTCAAAACACCAATTCCTTTACGGATTGGTAGGGATGGTCATGGATTGTTGGTGGAATTGAATCCATGAAAAGGACTCCTACAAATGGAATCACAAAAGCGCAAACACAACTTGGGAGTTTTCACCACGTTCGCTCTGGGTTCCCTGCAAAACTGTGAGAAGCGCGTGTCTTCTGTGAGAACCTGCACTCATACTTCCCCTTTGAAGCATTTAGGCCTTTTTGCGGGCTGAGAAAGCCCCTGGTTGGAACTTGGTGAATTCGCTTTTGTTGCCGTCGGATGCGTGAGAAGCAAGCCACCCATGGGCTCTTAAATCTGAACTCACGGGGTTGAAGAGGTGGTGCTCTTTAGTTGGGTGTTTCCTTTTTGTTTTTCTTTCATACCAGTGAAATGGTTCTCAGGGGAAACCAAAAGGAAGACCCCAGGGCGGTACCTCTACTTTAACACATGCCCAGTTGGGTGCAGAACCCGTTTTCCAACAAGAATTCGAAGTGGACAGGTGGCAGTAGTCTTGCAAATCCCCTTTGCACGATCGGAGGGAGGGTAAACCCCCCTTTTCTTCCAGTTGCTTATGAATACTTTATATTTTCCTCTGTTGGTTTTAAAGGGAATCTATCACTGCTGGATGTTA